CAGAGAAGAGAGACTAGTATAGAAGTCCAATGCTGGGTTAATAATCCGGACTTCGTTTCGGATAACATGTCGGTAAATCTCGAAGCTTCTGTCATCCGACCGGTAGTTGTCGCTTCGGAAAATCAACCTTTTTTTTTTTTCTTTACAAACTTGGCTTACAACAGCAAAGTAAAAAGACTTATGCGTTCTATGATCCCACCACTTCTACTATTTACCCCTGCCATTACTGCGTTCACTCTTTGCTCCGACTCAATACAGCGTTGAGGCGCTCATTTTCATAGCAACGCCATCTCCTGGTTCTATTTAGAATTTCTTACTCACGTTTTAGTCCTCCATTTGAATTGGACTTCTATACTAGTCTCTCTTCTCTGGTTGATACGTTATTATACTTACGAGCACACCTCTTGATGGATTGCTTGCTCGAAGTGTTGAGTATTTACTATTGCCCTTACTTTTCCGGCCGAGTTAGACGCCCAATAAGGCGTGACTATTTCGACTTTACTTTCACACGCGTCGACCCTAGAATTAACAGTTGAATTAGGTAACATAATTGAAAAATTATGAATTACAGCTGAAGTGGTTGGATTTTTGAGAGTGGTAGCTGATGTTTGTATTGTTTGTAGAGGGTGGAATGAAGGTGGCAGGTCATCAGTGAATTTTGATCTGCTAGAGAGGCGTAGGAGGAGGTACGGTATCTAATGCGTGTTGTTTGTTCAGGATGGGATGAAGGGGAGGCAGGACATCAGTGAGTTTTTGGCTGCTAAATGTAGGAGGACATAATGGACGGAACAGGTTCGTTTAAGAAAGGGGTAACTGATGCCTGTGTTATTTGCTGATGATGGAATAAAGGGGGAGGTTACCAGTGAGTTTTGGGCTTTTAAGGAAGTGTAGGAGGAAGTAATTGACTAAGTAGTCCGTTTAGAGTAGTTGATATCTGTGTTGTTTGCTGCGGATGGAATGAAGGGGGAGATCACCAGTGAGTTTTGGGCTGCTAAGGAAGTGTAGGAGGAGGTAATAGCCGATGTCGTCTTGTTTAAGAATGGTAACTGATGTCCGTGTTGTTTGTTGAGGATGGAATGAAGGGGTAGATCACCAGTGTTTTGGGCTTCTAAGGAAGTGTAGGAGGAGGTGACTGACAGAGGAGTCACGTTTATTAAGAATAACTGATGCCTGAATTATTTGTTAATGAAGGGATAAAGTGAATATTATTAGGCTGCTAAGGGTTAAGGGTGTGTAGGAGGAGGTAACGGGTGCCCGTATTGTTTGTTAAGGGTGGAATGGAGAAGGATACAGGACACTAATTAGTTTTGGGCTATTAAGGAAGTGTAAGAGGAGATAATGGATGGAGAAGTTTCGTTTAAGAAGGATAGATGATCCTTGTATTATTTTGGGACAGATTAGTTGTGAATATTAAGCTGTTAAGGAAGTGTAGAAGAAGGTGATGGAGCGAGCAATCTTGTTTAAAAGAGGGTAGTATACACCTCATTTTTTTGTTCTGGGTGGGATGGTTGCGGTAGTGAATTTTTGACTTTTTCGTTTTTATACTTCGTACTGTAATTAAATATATATTGAACTTCACGTATATGTTGGAAAATTCAAGATGGAAGGAGCGGTAGAGATGTCAAACAAAGAATAGCGCAGGACAACAAAAAGAAGTCATTTTTATGCTCTCTAACGGTGAATTAAACAGTTCAAAAAAGATTGTTACAGGTTAATGCTTGGAATACGAAAAGTAGACGATAGGCTCGGTGGAAAAGAAAAGGTTGTAAGCGTTTGAGATATGGTTTTAAACACAGATAGGAATCAGGAGGTTGTAGAAAGAGTTACAGAACAAAGGACACTATGTATGTCAATAAGAAATAGGCGATATACGAGGGTGGATTGANAGTGAATTTTTACAAGGAAAATAGAAAATAGAAAATAGATTTACAATATAGCAACTTGATATTAATAATAATTGATTTTCGGCAAGGTCTCCTACTATCCTACTTCACGCTATCCAACGGGTAGGAGATCAGCGAGTTACGAAATGTGGGTAGTGTTCGTGGGCGATATCGAATGAAATGACGGCGTACACCGCCCATTGTTACATTTTATGTACCACTTTAAAACTGTGAACGAATGATAGAGTCTTAATGCTTTTTTTTCCATTTAAAATACAATACAATAAGTTATATCTTACGATACATTATAAATTGATTGAGTTTTTTATGCTGGCAGCACGACGTTGCTGATGTGATGTAATGTAGCAGTCATTTTACGATAAAAACGTTGGTAACTATTTTTCTTTGTTTATCACAAGTTGTGGCTAGTGTTCGTGCTTGTATCTTGATGTTGGTTGTTGGTATGCGAGGGGGAAGAGTGTTTGTGCTTTAGGGGTTGCACCTGCACACGCAACACGACGGGAACAGGAACCAGTCCATGAAAATCCCCTTGCAGTCGTTATCTGGATCGTAGGCTAGGAGGCGGTGCCATTTGTATTTTTGCTCGCAACCGCAATCGTCCGTGCAACGTTTCGTCCTCGCTTGCCTACATCAGGAAAATTATGAAATCGCATTTAACATGTGCGCCTGGTGACATAATCGTTCACCCGCCGCCACTCTTAGTTGATACCAGAGAAGAGAGACTAGTATAGAAGTTCAATGCTGGGTTAATAATCCGGACTTCGTTTCGGATAACATGCCGGTAAATCTCGAAGCTTCTGTCATCCGACCGGTAGTTGTCGCTTCGGAAAATCAACCGTTTTTTTTTTTCTTTACAAACTTGGCTTACAACAGCAAAGTAAAAAGACTTATGCGTTCTATGATCCCACCACTTCTACTATTTACCCCTGCCATTACTGCGTTCACTCTTTGCTCCGACTCAATACAGCGTTGAGGCGCTCATTTTCATAGCAACGCCATCTCCTGGTTCTATTTAGAATTTCTTACTCACGTTTTAGTCCTCCATTTGAATTGGACTTCTATACTAGTCTCTCTTCTCTGGTTGATACGTTATTATACTTACGAGCACACCTCTTGATGGATTGCTTGCTCGAAGTGTTGAGTATTTACTATTGCCCTTACTTTTCCGGCCGAGTTAGACGCCCAATAAGGCGTGACTATTTCGACTTTACTTTCACACGCGTCGACCCTAGAATTAACAGTTGAATTAGGTAACATAATTGAAAAATTATGAATTACAGCTGAAGTGGTTGGATTTTTGAGAGTGGTAGCTGATGTTTGTATTGTTTGTAGAGGGTGGAATGAAGGTGGCAGGTCATCAGTGAATTTTGATCTGCTAGAGAGGCGTAGGAGGAGGTACGGTATCCAATGCGTGTTGTTTGTTCAGGATGGGATGAAGGGGAGGCAGGACATCAGTGAGTTTTTGGCTGCTAAATGTAGGAGGACATAATGGACGGAACAGGTTCGTTTAAGAAAGGGGTAACTGATGCCTGTGTTATTTGCTGATGATGGAATAAAGGGGGAGGTTACCAGTGAGTTTTGGGCTTTTAAGGAAGTGTAGGAGGGAGTAATTGACTAAGCAGTCTCGTTTAGAGTAGTTGATATCTGTGTTGTTTGCTGAGGATGGAATGAAGGGGGTAGGTTACCAGTGAGTTTTTGGCTTTTAAGGAAGTGTAGGAGGAGCTAGCTGACAGAGCAGTCACGTTTATGAAGAATAACTGATGCCTGAATTATTTGTTAATGAAGGAATAAAGTGAATATTAAGGGTGTGTACGAGGAGGTAAGGGATGCCCGTATTGTCTGTTGAGGGTGGAACGGAGGAGGGCAGGTCATTAATGAGTTTTGGGCAACTACGGAAGTGTAGAAGGAGGTAACTGACGGAGCAGACTCGTTTATAAAGGATAACTGATGCCAGAATTTGTTGCTGAAGGGATAAAGTGGATATTAGGCTGTTTAAGTTTAAGGGTTTGCAGGAGAAGGCAACGGGTGCGTGAATTGTCTGTTGAGGGTGGAACGAAGAAGGCAGGTCACTAATGAATTTTGGGCTAGTGAGGAAGTGTAAGAGGAGATAATGGATGGAGCAGACTCGTTGATGAACTGATGCCTGAATTTGTTGCTGAAGGGATGATAATGTGAATATTAGGCTGCTAAGGGTTAAGGAGGAGATAACGGTTACCCATATTGTTTGTTGCAGGTGAAACTAAGTATGGCTGATGTCTGAATGATTTATTGATGATGAGATGAAGGAATATTAGGCTACTTACGATGTATAGGAGGAGGCAATTGACAGAGCTGTATAGCTTAAGAAGGATAGCGGACGTCTCTATTATTTGTTGATGGGATGAAGGATGTGCAGGAATGGGTAATGGACCATCTATGAGGGATAGCTAATGCTTATATTACTTTTACAGGGGGGGGAATGAAGATGGGACAGATCAGTTGCGAATATTAGGACGTTAAGGAAGTGTAGAAGGAGGTGATGGAGCGAACAGTCTTGTTTAAAAAGGGGTAGTATATACCTCATTTTTTTGTTCTGGGTGGAATGGTTGCGGAAGATCACTAGTGAATTTTTACAAGGAAAATAGAAAATAGAAAATAGATTTTGACACCTAATGTTATTTGGCATAAAAATCGTTATGTTTAACAATGTATTTGATGTGGTACGTAACATTACTACGAAATGCAAACCTCATTACCCCACAGCTTTTGTTTTTACCTTCCAGTTTCCGATGTTTGGTTTGCTCGGAAGTTTTGTCTTGGCGTCCTCGTGAATTTTTCGAAGAACGAATCTCCGCCCATCACAACCGGATCGGGTCCCGGATCAGCGTGTAAATCCGGCACGCCCGGCTTATTAACCGATCTCTTTCGTTTCGTGCCACCCGTGAATTCTTCGCCCATCGTAAAGTCCCCGTACATCCTTCGCATTAACGCCTTGTTTTCGTCAATGNTAGCAAGGAGATCGGGCTGAAACTATAGCTACAAGCTATCCAAGGATGGTACTATAGAATGTCACCTCAAGGTAGGCCTAGTGGCGTCATCTCTTGGTTAGGCCGGAAACTTATCAATCCACCCTCGTAGGTTGGTAGGACACCTTCTCAGACATGAAGGGCTGCTTGGATACTTAGAGACATATTAGAAGCAGAAAAGGAAACAAGAGGTTCATAAATAGTTGAGGAAGTGGGATGTTTTAGTTTCAGAAAAATTCGAAGATTGGTTCAAGATCGGAAAGGGTAGACTAAAGGTGCGTGTACAACCAGTATTTGGACTGACGATCCTATAACGATGATAATTTTAAATATGTATCTAGAAAACAGGGGAGGTAATTAATGAGGTGTATTTTTTGTATGTATCTTGTAGAAGGTCTAGTAAGAGTACCTCAATAACAACGTTTTTACAATTCCAGTGGGCTGTATATTCAGAGGTATGTATTATTGTGGGTTTGCAAGGAAAATAGAAATTTTGGTGGCTTCGACACCTACCGTTATTTGGCATAAAAATCGTTATCGTTAACAATGTATTTGATGGGGTACGATAACATTGCTATGAAATGCAAACCTCATTACCCCACAGCTTTTGTTTTTACCTTCCAGTTTCCGATGTTTGGTTTGCTCGGAAGTTTTGTCTTGGCGTCCTCGTGAATTTTTCGAAGAACGAATCTCCGCCCATCACAACCGGATCGGGTCCCGGATCAGCGTGTAAATCCGGTACGCCNGGTTGGATATTTGAGAGTGGTAGCTGATGTTTGTATTGTTTGTAGAGGGTGGAATGAAGGTGGCAGGTCATCAGTGAATTTTGATCTGCTAGAGAGGCGTAGGAGGAGGTACGGTATCTAATGCGTGTTGTTTGTTCAGGATGGGATGAAGGGGAGGCAGGACATCAGTGAGTTTTTGGCTGCTAAATGTAGGAGGACATAATGGACGGAACAGGTTCGTTTAAGAAAGGGGTAACTGATGCCTGTGTTATTTGCTGATGATGGAATAAAGGGGGAGGTTACCAGTGAGTTTTGGGCTTTTAAGGAAGTGTAGGAGGGAGTAATTGACTAAGCAGTCTCGTTTAGAGTAGTTGATATCTGTGTTGTTTGCTGAGGATGGAATGAAGGGGGTAGGTTACCAGTGAGTTTTTGGCTTTTAAGGAAGTGTAGGAGGAGCTAGCTGACAGAGCAGTCACGTTTATGAAGAATAACTGATGCCTGAATTATTTGTTAATGAAGGAATAAAGTGAATATTAAGGGTGTGTACGAGGAGGTAAGGGATGCCCGTATTGTCTGTTGAGGGTGGAACGGAGGAGGGCAGGTCATTAATGAGTTTTGGGCAACTACGGAAGTGTAGAAGGAGGTAACTGACGGAGCAGACTCGTTTATAAAGGATAACTGATGCCAGAATTTGTTGCTGAAGGGATAAAGTGGATATTAGGCTGTTTAAGTTTAAGGGTTTGCAGGAGAAGGCAACGGGTGCGTGAATTGTCTGTTGAGGGTGGAACGAAGAAGGCAGGTCACTAATGAATTTTGGGCTAGTGAGGAAGTGTAAGAGGAGATAATGGATGGAGCAGACTCGTTGATGAACTGATGCCTGAATTTGTTGCTGAAGGGATGATAATGTGAATATTAGGCTGCTAAGGGTTAAGGAGGAGATAACGGTTACCCATATTGTTTGTTGCAGGTGAAACTAAGTATGGCTGATGTCTGAATGTTGACATTCATTTAAACATGATTGAATCTCCCATTGTTTTTTTAATTCATAATTATTAAATTCTTAAGTATATAGGTAATAAAACATTTTTATAAAATAATTATAGTATCAATTAATACTGTAAGTAAATTATTATAATGAAACGAAACATTAATTGGTGAATGTTATTGTAGAAATCGCATTCAAATGAGTCCATTAATTTTGAGAAATAGATTGATAAACAAAAAGGGGTTCTTGTCCCTTAAAATATTCTTAATCGCGATGAAAGTGCAATTTACAACACCCCCTTCTAGTTGACTTCAAATATTGCAATGCTGCTAACATAATCTACATGACCAGAGCTCGTAGGAGTCATACAATAGAGCAGAAGTGGGGGGTAAGGGATGCGGTACTAATGTGCGTTAGAGGAAGCTTCTACTTCTGCCTCATCGTAAATTAAACGACAATCACGCATCGTTTGCGAGAGTAGATGATGCTGTAGAGTTCTGTAGAGTCAGGTATACTTCGTTTACTTTTTGTAGCGATGTGACCTTCACTTTCACCGGCGCAAAGTAGAAAAGAACAGCACTAGGCCAGAAAAGGAAGGAGACAACTCTCGGCCAAAGTCTTAACCGGTGAGGAGCGTATAATCCGTACAGTACTGCACGGAAAAATTGACNTAAATAAATAAAAATTATCAATTTTTTAAATTATTTTTTATTACAAACATTAACACTTATTCAATTTAATTTAGTGGTTGTGTCCGATTCTTATTTCAAACGAATAATAGGAAGCTCTGGTTTCAGTTGTGTACAAAAGATCTGTCATCCATGTAATTTAACAGGAAATACGTCTTGTGGGTTAGATTCTAGGCTAATATAGCCGCTTCGAATAGTTAGAATTAGTTTTTGATAAAATAGTAAATCTACGGCATCTATTTAGGTGCAATCAACGGAAATCTACAAACTTTTGATCGCCTCCCTTCGGATTTTTAGAAAACTGGCCTAACAACACTGCCCCGCGACTTTCAGAAGGTGTCAACAAAATTTATATCGCCTCCCTTCGGATTTTTAGAAAACTGGCCTAACAACACTGCCCCGCGACTTTCAGAAGGTGTCACCAAAATTTATTTTTTGCTGAAAATTGTTTTTTGCACTTGACTTTTTGGCGCCCCTCTCCCTCTACCCCTGGGCCGACGCTGCTTTTTAATACCCCCCCCACTTTTAAGCATTCTTATCCACGTTGATTTAACATCTACATTTCACATCTATACAGAGCCGCGCCCCAAGCATGCACTTTTAATAATATTTTTCTAATTTCAATGATTTTATGATAGAAAAATGAATAAAAACTTACTTTAAGCCCAATCATACACAGCATCATGGCGTCTTCGTAATCTTTTTTCAAAAGTGATGTCATAAAGAGTGAAATTATTTCTAAACGTTTTTTGTGATTTTTTATGCGCCTAAATCTTTCCCACCTTTGAGGTGCTATAGATTTATTTTTACGCGCTACTCCTAAATCTGCCATTTACACAAAAATTTTGATTAAATGCAATTTCTAATATAATAAGTTTATTCAGCTAAAAAATACTAAAATTTAATAGATTGTCATTTTGACATTCATTTAAACATGATTGAATCTCCCATTGTTTTTTTAATTCATAATTATTAAATTCTTAAGTATATAGGTAATAAAACATTTTTATAAAATAATTATAGTATCAATTAATACTGTAAGTAAATTATTATAATGAAACGAAGCATTAATTGGTGAATGTTATTGTAGAAATCGCATTCAAATGAGTCCATTAATTTTGAGAAATAGATTGATAAACAAAAAGGGGTTCTTGTCCCTTAAAATATTCTTAATCGCGATGAAAGTGCAATTTACAACACCCCCTTCTAGTTGACTTCAAATATTGCAATGCTGCTAACATAATCTACATGACCAGAGCTCGTAGGAGTCATACAATAGAGCAGAAGTGGGGGGTAAGGGATGCGGTACTAATGTGCGTTAGAGGAAGCTTCTACTTCTGCCTCATCGTAAATTAAACGACAATCACGCATCGTTTGCGAGAGTAGATGATGCTGTAGAGTTCTGTAGAGTCAGGTATACTTCGTTTACTTTTTGTAGCGATGTGACCTTCACTTTCACCGGCGCAAAGTAGAAAAGAACAGCACTAGGCCAGAAAAGGAAGGAGACAACTCTCGGCCAAAGTCTTAACCGGTGAGGAGCGTATAATCCGTACAGTACTGCACGGAAAAAATGACCATTTTATCCACTACAATTGCATTGCTCAAATGTGCTGTTATTGGTACCATTTACTGCTGAAAATATCAACGAGATGTTTATTTATATTTGAAGACATATTAAAG